TCTGTATTTACGAACCTCTGCCATACTAGTTCTTGCCGGTCCGCCATGTTTTTCCGCGTCCGTCCGTCCGCGTGGTTAGAAATTTTCCGAGGTGCGCGTTGCGGAAATCTTGAGCCGTGTGGAGACGCGGTGGAGGGGCGTGGTTGTTAAAATGACGCAAAATGACGCAACTTTTCCGCGCGGAGCCGTGCGGACCTCGCTGACGCATCAAGCATAAACCAACCTTCAGAGCTGGGGGCTCCTCCAACATAAGGGCCCCAGGCGGCCGACGACCCCTGCCTAATGGTAAAACCGCCACTGTTACACGCTCATCCATATACAGACTTTGCATATTTAAACCGTATATATATATATATATATATATATATATATATATATATATATATATATATATATATATATATATATATATATATATATATATATATGTTGATGACTTAAATCTTATTTCTGCAAATTTTTGTGTATGGTTAGGGTTTCAGGGTCTTGTCAAATTTGACTTTAATGGTGTTTTCTCTACAAACAAAATTAACTGTTTAGTTTTTCTGTTTCTGTCTCCACAAACAACATTTTAGTGATTTTTTAAAATGGAGTTTTATTCTGTTTTGGATGTATAAATCTTACATAAATCAGATCAGACATTCATAAATTTAATTTCTTTTTGAAAAGTAAACAGCATTTTTAAGTTTTTGATCTCTTAAATGTATTATTTAGCTGTTGGATTATTGTAAATCTAACTCTTTTTGTATAAAATCATCAACACTCACCTTTGAAATAAACATTTTCCACAATAAAAGAACAAAAAATAAATAAATTTCAAAGGGAAAAAGTGCAACATATTGGTTTAAATTGTAAGCAGTTCTTTTTTCTTAATTCTAATAATGCTTCTTGGCAAACTTTTTTTGATACAAACCTTGATTTATTGCCTTTATTATAGGGTAACATGTGTATAGATTCTAAGATTCATTGCTTAGAAAAATTCTACTTTATAGGGTAAATTGAGGTATTTATTTGATCTTGATTGAATTTTTCCCCAGATGGTTAAAATATCTTTAAAAGTGTGGAACACTTGTTTAATCAATCCATTTGCAGTGGTCTCTAGTAGGAATTAAGATCTTGTAAGTTGTACTCGGAAAGAAAAAAAAACAAAGGTGCACCATTTCTAGAAAGTAGAAGTGACCCACATCACTGCTGAGCTTCAGACGGTAGGTTTTGGAGTATTATTTCCTGATATTTTAACATCTCTTCCCTGATTGGCTAACACAAATGTGACACTGACTCATTTTGCCTTGCAACGTTGCTGTTTTACCTCCACAAATAAAACAAGCCTGGAGGAGTTCTGCTGTGTGGTGGAGTTGCTAATGCCAATGGTTAGCTTCTACTAGCCGAGGCATTCTCTGTTGTTTCTTGGACGCTAAACCAGCGACAGCCTTCCCCGTCGTGAGTCAGGATGGGTGAGTCCGTGAATGTTAAGTGACAGTGTGACGTAGTTCTGTCAGGCTTTTCAAATCCTAGAGTTTCACCGTCTATTTCCTATCAGAAGCTAATGCAGGAGAAGGGTGTAGGAGACTATTTTCATGTTCAGCCTGCATGACAACTCAGTGACGATTATAATCAGAAAAATATATATATATTTCTGTTTTCCACAGCTTTAAAACATGCTCAGAAACCAATCAGAAGTTTTTTATGCATTTTTTAAAGTGTTTGTTGCATGCAGCAAAGATCTCCTATCACACAGCATGATAATTTAAATTCTGTCAGCTCTTAGATCAGCCTTTCACATCTTTCTCCAGGGGCATATTTAGGACTGAAGAAGATCCGGGGCTTAACACACATGCGCGCGACACGCACTAGTCAACATCATATATATGTCTTGTACCACATAATTTTTAATCTGAAGCTACATATTAAGCATTTTCAGGGCAGAGTATTGTTCCTCTTAGGGTTTAGTGTGAGATGATAGTAAATATTCCCTTTCTTTCTCCAAAAACTTTACCTGATAATAAGCTAACTTTAGGCAAACCAGCAGCACAACAAATATTTTCAAATAAGACTCACAAACCTGAGTCAACACCAGTCTCATCAAAGCTGGGGTTCTGTCGTTGTACTTTTTGTCGAAAAAACGTCCTTATGTCCATCTTCACTCATGTGTTTCAGACAGAGACTGCAGAAGAAGCCGGCTGCTGAAGGGCTTCTTCTTCAGTGGTGGAGGCTCAGGCAGGCTGTATACAAACTACTGCCAGCTGCTCCCTCTCTGTTGGACTTTGGTACTGCATGTTACTTCCGCGATTTAGATCCGGGGCTTTTCATGAAACATCCGGGGCTTCAGCCTAAGTAGCCGGGCCTAACGCCGCCCCTGTCTTTCTCCACTTAAGACTAACTTCTAAGCTCAGTCAGAAGGATTTTTTATAGTAAAAACAGGCTTAAATGTACACATATGGTCCCTTTTTTCAGCTTTTTATTCTGGTGGATTAAGGAGGGGCTGCGCAGTGGTGCAGTGGTTAGAGCTGTTGCCTTGCAACAAGAAGGTCCTGGGTTCGCTTCCCAGCCTGGGATCTTTCTGCATGGAGTTTGCATGTTCTCCCTGTGCATGCGTGGGTTCTCTCCGAGTACTCCGGCTTCCTCCCACAGTCCAAAAGCATGACTGTTAGGTTAGCTGGTCTGTTTAAAATTGCCCTTAAGTGTGAGTGAGTGTGTGTGCATGATTGTTTGTCCTGTATGTCTCTGTGTTGCCCTGCGATGGACTGGCTCTCTGTCCAGGGTGTACCCCGCCTGATTGCCCATTGACTGCTGGAGATAGGCACCCCCGCGACCCTACGTAGACAAAGCGGGTTCAGACAATGGATGGATGGATTAAGGAGGAGATGCTTGACATGTGTAGTTTCACAGCTGCATGTTGTTTCTCATCCACTCATGTTTCAGCACTAAGATAATTCTGCAGCGAAGGGAGACAGAGTTTTTTTAAACTGTTGTTGGAACACTAGAAGTTTACACAAGGAAGGATGAAGGAGGGTTGCTGGATCCATTCCCAGACCTCATCAGTATCACGCAGAGACCACACAGCCACAAAATGTTCCAAAACAGCTCAGATAGAGGGGGTAATCTAAGGGTATATGGTGTGTTTGATGGCGAGCGCGGCAGCTGAACGCTTCTGCAATTAAAATAAATGTTAATGTGAACACGCGATTCATTTAAAACTCACAATTCTGAGAGCAAACCCCCCCATCTTAAATGACACAATTTTCTCTGGTAAACGGGATCGTGGTTTCAAGTGTCATTTAACAACCAGACATGATTCCCATTAGAGTTGGAAGCAATTAAGAGAAAACTCCTCTGGGCATAAACAAAGGCAGGAGAGGCCATGTTTGTGAGCTGTGAGGCTTTTTGAAGGCTTCACATTCCTGTGAGAAGAAACCGTGTAAACAAGCACAGATGGATTATTCAGGACACATTCGCCTTCAGGCTGTCGACAAAACTTTTTTATATAAACTGCTCAAGAAAACTTAACAAAATGACCGCCGAGATGTGGGCATCTCTCTGGAACATCACCCAGGCCCCTTCATCACCAGCACACGACGAGCTCCAGCCAACCACGGGATCGTGCTGGCCTGTCTCCCACTAATTAGTCCCCCTCTTCTGGGCTAATTGGCTGATAAAAAATGAGGACGGCCTCTTCACCCGGTCTGAGTTGTGACACCAACTGGCAGAGAGGATTATGAGGCTTATGGAGCCCAGTGACACTCGGGGAGGATCACTCCTCCGCTGCTGGTTTCCTCGTCATGTGGGGCCACCAAAAACATCTGCCCGCTTGACTTCTTTCCTCATTAATTCATTTGAGGTCTGGGTGATATCAGTGTTACAGCATGTTAAAGGGAAATTGCACGGGTCTTACTTTTGATTTATTAATTTTTTTCTTGCCAGGGCTGTAGAGATTTTGGGGATTCTAAGAAAATCTCCCAGACAGCAAACTCTTGCTTCAGATGCATGTTGATCCAAATAAATTCAACTTTGATAAGAAATCCTGGCTTTTGAGATATGGAACTGTGGAAAACTTATTGGTAATTTATTTGTATTTCAATTCCAACAAGTTGGAATTTTTTAAACCTGCTCAGATGGTCATGATCGATATTTATTCAATTTCTGATTTATTATCATTTGTTACCTTTACTATGGATTTGGCTTCGTTTTCTGTAATACAATTTAGTTATTTAGTTAATTAAACTTGTTTGTGCACTACAGCTAGCAGTAGATCATTCTCACATATCACTCATGATTATCTTGTTTCCTGTCTGTCTTTGCTGCTGTTTTTTTAAAAGATGACAAAAATTAAACAAAAAGTATCTATGGAACACCTGGCAGCATTTTTGTTGGATATTAGAAGAAAAATATGCTAAAAAGCTGTAGTAAAATGAAATTAGATGGATAATGCTTTGATTAGAACTTAGGCGCTTAAAAACAGTAATAAGCAGGGTATAGCATATAACAGAATGATAAAAAGCTTAAAAAACAATCAAAAGCTCAATCAATAATATATACTAACTTATCATTAAGAGTTATTAATATGTAAGTGCTCAAAGGAGCAAGAAAGAAAGCATCTGCTTATTTAATATGATTGAATTTAATAAACTGAACTAACAAAAAAGAGGCAAAAAGCTCTTTGCTCTCACTGTTAAAGCAATATTAACGTTCATAAGATCAAAGTTGAACACATTTAGATTAAATCATAACAGAAACTTTAAAATACACATTTTGGGGCATAAAGAAAATAAAAAACCTAAAGTTGAGCAGCTTTTAGTGTCACACTGTTCATTAGTGGGTGCTTTGCTCTCTGTCATGTCTCCAATTAGCTTTCATAAAGTTACAATAAGAAGCTAATTAGCTCACGCGGAAGACTCCGGTTGTGAATAGGTGCATCCCTTTAAGTCCCACCTTTTCCGTTCCCGCAGACTGACCAATCAGCGTGCTCGCTGTGCCTCGATGGGACGTAACGTCAACTGCCGTCGTGTCGGGATTGGAATGTTACCGACTAACAATCGGAACAACGGAGCACTCGGTAATTGGACGCTAGAATCAAGGAATCCGGTCTTTTTGAACATTTTTCTCAGCCGTGAACCCACTTTGAGGTTACTCGCGCTGACCGGAAAACTTCACCTGCTTCGCGGCTCTCCGCCGATAAGGTTTTATGTTTTATATCGGCGCGTTTGAGGGTTTGTGGGGAGGTGATAAATGAGTGGAGAGAATGCAGGGATTTGTCAGGTTACAGTTGGACCGCTGAGCTGCCCTGCTTCACAGAAGCGTCTCCCGGTGTTTCGTTTCTCCTCACAAGGCACCATGGAAAGGTAAAGAAGCGGACCGGGACCAAAATTCAACCGGAGGCTTGAGGGTAGGAGCGCGGTGGTCACACCGCCGGGCTCGCGCTGCCCGAGGTTAGCGAGTTAAAGCTCCAAACCGGGCTGTACCTTTACGTCTGGGAGAGCCTCGGGGACCCCCAGCCGCTGGTCGCCTTCAGAAGGAGAGTTCTCTGTCCGCTGTCGGGCAGTTTTCGTTTGAAAAGCCTCGTTGGAGCTGACTGAATGAGCAGGAAGGGGACCGGTGGCTGTGTATATCGAGTCCGCGGAGTCCGGGCAGCGCCAGTCCGTGTCGGTGCTCCAGAGCCCCGCCGTAGGCGTCTTTAGATATGGTGAAACTCTACAGAAGAGGGAGAATGGGAAAACTCGTCTAAAATCGCCCACATGCACTGGATCAATTGTTGGATATCGGATCAGAATACGCAGAAGGGGAGTTGGAGATCCTTGGAAGCAGCCGGAGGATGGAGCGGTGTAGCCGGGGTTAGTGAGAGCCGAACTTCGGACCTCTTCACCTTTCTTATTCCTGATCAACTCGCCTCTGCTCCCAGGACACATGCAGGCCAAAAAACGCTACCTGATCCTGGTCTCCGCCGGTGCCTGTCTAGTGCTTCTGTTTTACCTCGGAGGGTTGCAGCTTCCAGCGGCCATGAGCCGGCATGGGCGCAGCAGAATCGAGCAGCCGTGGCCTCACTACTCCGACCCGTTACAGGCTTTCCTGCCCTGGGATCAGACGGACACTGAGGAGTACAACCTGCACATATCTCCCCGTCAGAAACGGGACGTCAACAGGAGTGTTTACAAAAGCAAACGGTGCCGCATGGACTCCTGTTTTGACTTCTCTCCGTGTCAGAAGAACGGATTCAAAGTTTATGTTTACCCCCAGCAGAAGGGAGAGAAGATCTCAGAGAGTTACCAGAACATTTTATCCATCATTGAGGGATCCAGGTTCTACACCTCAGATCCTGGACAGGCGTGTCTGTTTGTCCTAAGTGTGGACACTCTGGATAGGGACCAGCTGTCCCCTCAGTATGTCCACAACCTGAAGACTAAAGTGCAGAGCCTTCCTCTGTGGAACGATGGTAGGAACCACCTCATATTTAACTTGTATTCGGGGACATGGCCTGACTACACGGAAGATCTCGGCTTTGACATCGGCCAGGCCATGCTGGCCAAGGCCAGCATCAGCACCGAGAACTTCAGGCCCAGCTTTGATGTGTCGATCCCCCTCTTCTCCAAGGAGCACCCGAGGACTGGCGGGGAGAGGGGGTACCTCAAGTACAACACCATCCCGCCTTTTAGAAAGTACATGCTGGTGTTCAAGGGGAAACGCTACCTGACTGGCATCGGCTCGGATGCACGGAATGCCTTATACCACGTCCACAATGGGGAGGATGTGGTGCTGCTCACCACCTGCAAGCATGGCAAAGACTGGCAGAAGCACAAGGACGCACGCTGTGACAAGGACAACGCGGAGTATGACAAGTAAGTCCAAATTACAGGTGCTTTAGAGAAACCACTCAAACTTTAGGCACAAAGATTTCGTGCTTCAAAGCGTCTCATCCACAGCTCGCACTGTTCTCAGCTCTCAACATTTCCGGTTTCCATTGTCAGATAAAAAAGTTGGACTTGGATAGAAAACCAAATGCTTCTGATTCTTTTTAGATCCCCCTCCACATAACTCCCTTTCCTGCTTGCCCTGGACACCCCCTTCCCTCCCTTATTTCCCCATGCAGGAATTCACCCTCCCCAGCTTCGCTCATTCCGAGCACTGTAGTCCTTTTTCCTTTATGCGTGGATATGCACAGACACGTTTGATTTGCACTTTGTATATTTAGTGCAAATGAGGTGAAAATCAACTGTAGGAGTTGTGCACCAGATGATCATCAAGCTTAAAGTAGCTGCGTTCTGCCAAGAGGCTGCTTCCCACATCCAAAGGTGCATACTTGATGTAGGCTGCAGTGGTTGAATTATAAAGTGATTTAGTGCAAATCAGTCATAAAGGGTTAATTGGCACCCTAATTTGCAGGCGTTAGTGGCATCATTTGTGTTTAGCCCCCAGGGACAGTCAATTACTTCTAATTTTTGGAGTCTTGGTTTTGTCAAGGTGGTAATTAATGGTTCCCTCCTCCTCTCTCCTGGGATCAACAGCTGCAAATGCCTGATATGTTTTAATATAGAGGGCAGTGTTGTCTCAGGTTCAGGTTTATGAGCCGAACTCAACTGGCAAGCTCAGTTTTGTGTGAGTGACATGGGTTTGATCAGCCTGTGGGTCCTGGCATCGTTAAAGGCTGAATAAACTCGAGGCATGTGATAACAGCTTGTCCTAGTGGGCGTGTGTGTGTAACTCGTCTTTAAGGGTTTTGAAGTTCATTCTGTGAGAAAACGGAGCGAAAGGAGCTCCGGGACCCTTGAAGTCATCGCGCGTTGTGTTGAGATGGGAAGCAACTTTCTCTGAACTCAAAATGAACTCAAGAACCTTCACAGACTTGCAGCTAAAGTAGAAAAGCGCTCAAAAAAATTCACAAGCACACACTTGTCTCTCCCATTCGTCACCCTTTTCTCCCACTTCTCCCTAACACACACACACTTCACCCTCCTCGTCCCACCGGATGCCTCGGGCTCGATGTCACCCATAGAGATATGTCATCCATTATCTGGGCATTCCAGTCGTCTCCAGACGGCCCACCTCTGCTCCAGTCATGGCTCCCGTCTCCAAACGGATCGGACCCTGTTTGTTCCCAGGAGGAAGCTTTGCCTCTCTAGAACATCTCGGATCTGATCATTGATCCAGCAGATGTAGGTAGTTCAGGGAATTCTGAATCTTTAGTGTGCTTCACAGTTGATCTACTTTGATCAATATCGCTAGTTCCTGTTAGTCGTTTTGTTTCCAGCATCAGCGCCGTGTTCAGTTTCAATTTCTCTACCAGGCCAAAAAATAAGTAAATAAAAAAAAAATCTATTTTCATTTTCAATGAAACGTGGAAACAGTTGAGCACGAAGTTTGCTTGTAATTGCTCCACTGTACAACTCAGTGGTTTGAGACACATTTTTATGTTTCAGAATAGATGTAGCAGGTTAAAACCTGTGCTCGAGACGCCAGTCAATGTTATCTGCAAAGTTTGACCAATAAATTCAAGCATTCAGTAACCTGCTTTAAAACTAATCTGAACTTCATTTTTTAAATCAAGTTTGAAGCCCTTTGGCTGCCAACCCACTCTTTGCAGGAAGCCTGACACGGAGCAAGCTCTCTCGAGTAAATGGATCGACGTGCAGCCAACTGGTTGGTGTTTTAGTTGTAGAAGCTCAGGGGGGAACTGACAATGCCTTGCAGGGATGCTGTGCTGCAGACTCAGGAATGTACATATGTGTCAGAGCAGCTGTTAGCAGCTGAGCACGGAGCAGTGCCAAGGCTGCAGAGGACGTGCACATACCTGGGTGCTCAGTTTTTATGGAACATGAAGCATACTTTAAACGCAGAGGGGTATTCAAGCAATAAAGCCCATAATCAATGCATTGCAGACGTTCACACAGTGTCATTACATGTAGTAGTTCTTTGGCTGGCCTAATTCTGCTCATTTCTCAAAGAATGCAGCAGGAAGTCTGGATATTGGTACCTGAAGTTGCCATGCTCCTTACATTTATCCAATTGATTTTCTTTGCTGTAATAGCGTCCAATTGGAGTCACTCCAGTCCACATCCATGGCCAAGCACCGATGAAAGGGCCTATTCACTGCGACATTATCCACTGAGTTTTCCGAGCTGCTGACAATAATCCAGGGAGAGGACAGTGGAAGGCTATTACGGGCTCTACAATTGGGGGAAAGAAAAAAAATGTATGTAAGTTGGCAGAAATCCTATGCCTTGTGCCGACTAAACCTCTTTTACTGGAATTCTTCCTACAGGGAATTAGATTTTTCTTTGTTTTGTTTGTGAATGCAACATCATCCTCGCTCTTTTTAAAATAACACTTTGTGTCATTTAATCAATTTCTGCCTTGTGTCATGTTGGATCCGGGCCTGAGCAGCGTTTCTGGCGTCACTTATGTAGGTCAGCATTACAGCAACTCTGCTCGAGTCCCGTGTTCTTCTGGCAAGCAGATAATCCTGCAGAAATCAAAAGTGCATTCTAATATCACAAGTCAATCACTCAAAGTGATTCGTTATTACTGATGGGTGTTCCGTTAAAGTTCAACTGCACATTTCCTTTTGTTTTTTACTCTCCGTGAGGTATTTCTACTGCTAAGAGCTGCGTCATCATACCCCCATTTAATACTTAACCAGCTTTGTTGATTTGTATTGACTTTGTACTTTGGCTACTTCACAGGCAGCTGCCGCTCAAGGTCACTCAGGGAATTTGAAAACTTAGAGGCAATGAAGACAAGTGGCGGGAAAGATTAAGAGGGATGACAATGTCAAGAGGGGCTAGAGTAAATGTGTTTGTCTCCGTGTGAGAATGAGTGATGGTGCTCGTTGCATTGGAGGGTCTGAAGAGTTGCACTTTTAATGTGAACATTTCTTTGCATGTGTTTTTAGCACGGGTAAGAAATCTAAACTATTGGCTGGACCTTAATGAAATCCTCACAAGTACATCTACAACTGATTACCTGTTGGCGTTAACCCAATTCTAGACGGCGTAGGCAAAAACAGAAATGGCTGTAACTCGTAAGGTTTTTTAAATACTGAGTTTGTTGTAAACTAGCATGGGAAGACTATCCTTTACATCTTTCCCTGACGTTATAAATTCAGGTCCAGTCCGTTCTGATTGCTATCACCCCCAGAAAAAAACAATATTAAAGCTGTCATAGCAAATCTGCAGAACAAGCTAGGTTTTGAACGCAACCACAGTCACGGAACACTCACCCCTCCCCTCGGGTGTCTTCCTTGAAATGCTTCTGCCGGAAATGGAAACCCGCAATGCTGGACAAAACAAGATAGCGCTAAACACCATTCACTGTTTTCTAGGTCCTAACGTCATTTGTTGTCCGCGACTTCAAATAATGTTTTTTATTTTGGGGCTCTGGTAGCAGCCGGCTGTTTCTCCTTCTCTCATATAATTGAGCCATGAGTCTCTCACACCAGTGGTGACCGGATGGTCCAGTAGTAGTGATGCACCGATATGAAATTTTAGGGCGGATAACGGTATCCGATGTTGTTATCACTGTTATGGCCGAAAACCAATATTTGCCGATACCAATATACTGACATGAATGCTTCTAAAGTCAGCAATTTTGTATAAAATGAAAATTATTAAAGCTGAATTTACCTTATGTACACACACCACACACATTTACGCTTCTGAGATGATTACAATCACTGTCACATGACTAAACAATTACACGTCACCCCCCTCACCCTCTGAAACAAGCAAACAAATGGAAACGAGATGGAAAAATTATTGATTGTTAATATCGGCCTGGTTTTATTTATCCGACCAATACCGATCTGTTAAAAAATTACTAATATCGGCCGATACCAATGTTGATGCCGATATATTGTCCATCCCTATCTAATAGTTGCTTTTGGTCCCAAATATATTGGCGAAGGTTTATAGACAAATGCGAGAGAACCACTATATTAGTTATTTAAAAATATACTATGTTAGAACATTAAGAGGCATGAAAAACTGTTTTCCAAATTTGCCATTGTAGCTTTAAACTACCCCTATCCCCTTGTATATAGTCCACATATTTGCAGAACCATCAAATGAAAATTATGTAAAAATTGCAACTAAAAAAAGGGTCTCATCATCCCTTTTCCACTTTTTCCCTCTTACCACCCCGTTCTGTAAAAACAGCCATATAGGGACATTGATGCAAGTTGGATTTAGGAGCCGCCACATCTCCATCCCCGTCAGAGTGGGGCTTGACACATTGTTGACACAACTCCACAGAGCGAGAGACAGTAGCTGATGGGAAGCCAAGCGAAGAAAACCAGCAACACTTCCTCTCCACCTTATCTCAGTGGAACACTGTTATTATGAGTGGGAACAGCCGCTCTCACGTGAATGTCAGCGCTGTGGTGGCGCCCGATAGTGGACTCCCTGTTAGAGATTTGTAGTGCAGAAGCAAACAGTGGAGAGGGTGTCACACTTCTCGGGTTGCCATTGTTTGTTTTTTCTCCAGTCAGATTAATAAATCATGAATATTTCATTAATGCCTGCTCTCCCTGATAAAGCATCGAGCTTGTGATGGAGAATGTTAATGTTGTAGAGGATAATTAGTTTGAATGCAGTGCAGTGTAATTGGGACTCTTTGATACTTGGGTGTGTGCATTTGTGTTCGGTAAACTTAATCCTATAACTACATAAAACCTCTGTTTGTTGTTTTATCTTATCAGACCGGCTAAGCATCTCAAATCCCCTCTACTTTTACTGTCTTTGCCTTTCTCTCATCTCTTTATAGCCGTGTGTGGTGTGTGTGTGTGTGTGTGTGTATGTGTGTGTGTGTGTGTGTGTGTTGTAGTATGCGCAGCGAGTCTGTGTTT